CCCAGCAAAAGGAATGTATAATTATCCCTAACCTTAGTTGTTAAACAGGAGATCGGTGACAACACAGTACAGTACGGGCAGCAAGCCCACATAGAACATTACTGGCGGTCCACAGCAAAAGGAATTCACTAATGACAATACAGTATAATATAGGCAGTAAGCTTAACACAGAATATTATTGGTGGTTTATAGCAAAAAGGAATTGAAAAATACCACGAAACACCTCTTAATTTTAGTCGTTAAACAGGAGATTATTGAAGGCTTTGATTGATAAACAAGGCTGGTAAAATTACCAGGTGGCCACTGTCCTGAGTTTATCAGCCAAAGTCTTATTTAATGCCAGCTTATTTAACCTTGATTAAATTGTTTGAGAATTGTAAAAAAAAAAAAAAAATGGCATCTCTGAGTGGAGCCACCAAGCTGTGTCTATCTGTGCCTGTGTTTAAAGCAGCGCTTGTGTTTGGGAGATTTGCAGTGCCTAAGATAGGTTGGAACTCTAAGGCTGGGTGGGGCGCACCCAGGGTGGGGGCATTTGTCATGGCTGGAACACACACAAAAAAAGGCAGCAGAAGCAATCTGAACTTAATATCTGAAAATGCGAATACAGCATCAGATCAGTAAGATAAACTGTCTGTTGTGACTGCCTGCGTTTGTCTGTGTGCTGGCTGCCAAAGCACGCTTGCACACAGCCGCCCTTGAGCTTTGGAGGTGGGGACTGGTCTGGCGTGCGGTCAGAGCATGCCCAGCATAGGGACACATAGAATGAAGGCAGGGTGAGCGCCGGGACATAATGCAGAGTGGGCTGGGAGTGCCCCCCGAGAAACGCACAAGGCGGAGGTGGTGCCAGTGGGCTCGAGGCCGTGGTGGGCTCACGGTGGCGTCGGCGGCAGGTGTGCAGTGGCGGTGGGCTTGCGGTGCATGAGGGACAGAGCTGGGAGGCAGCCCGACGCAGTGTAAAGCTGGGGCTGCTCCAGGATGCGCGGCTGGTAGCTGACCAACATGGATCTGATCCGCCACATAGAGCTGAAGCCGCTCGCAGGATGCGCAGTTTAGGGCACGGTATTAAAGCCGAATGAACTGTGCATGGACCTGGAGCGTGGCATGAGAGCCAAGATATTGCATGGAGTTGAGGGGTGGCATGAAAACCCAAAACAGCTTAAAGCTTAAAGCAGCCCCGCACATATCTCTCAACACTGTTTGGGCTCATTTCCCATCTCTGTGGGGAATGGGATGGCGTGCAAGGTGGGGGGCAGGGGGAAGGAGGCGACGAGAAAACAAAAGGATGCTAAGAAAGCTCTGAAAGGTTGCAAGGAAAGATGCTATTATCTCTTTAAGTTTGGGGAGGGGGAGGGATCCTGGAGGAGCGGGAAAGGACACACATTCCCAAAACAAAGGTTTAAGATAGTTTTATAAACTTGTCGTCAGTGTGATAAGCCATAAATAGGTATGTGTTTTTTTTGGGAGGGGGACAGGAAGTGGTCCCCAAGATAAAATCTGGTGTGGGGTCTAAGCCCATGGAGTTACAGCCAGATGAGGCAATGAACTGTGGTCTGTAAGGTTTAAAGTCCTCACTTTTTACTCCAGACCAATCGGCTATTATATGGTTCCAAAACTTCACAATAATTGGCCGTCACCAATATATATACGAGTGGATTTCACGTAGGTCTAGTAACAACTCTGCCAGTGAGAACTTAAAAAGCTCTGAAGGATGTGAGAGTCTCTCAGTGTGGGCTGGTCCAGGAAAACTCTGCTTTGGGCTATCTGAACCCAAAGGACGTGAGAGTCTCCGAGTGTGGACACAGGTTGCCCAGAAAGACCCTGCCTTGGGCTATCTAAGGATGTGAGAGCTTTATGTGAACTCACGGAAAGGGGGAGAAAACCCGCCTGGGTCCTGGCCCAGTGGCAATCTCCGGGGGTTTGTTCACCTGTGGTAAATTGGGTTGGTGTTGTTTGCGAACCGGCAGCAACAAGCTTACAGCTCCCGTGTGTAAAAGTGAGGAATTAATGCAGGATGCAGTCCAGTCTTGGTCCTGAATGGCAGGGGAACGAAACTGGAAAGCCTCAGGAGTCTCTCATCTGCCGTTCCCGGTCAGGGAACCATATGATAGAACTGTGGGGGACTGAAAAGAGAAGAAGTATGAAATATAAATGACCTTCATTTTGAGAATGCAGGGAGAGACACCCCCAATCCCCTGGGGCACGGCATCTCCAAGGTCAGTGATCTCTCCGTGGAGCAGGTGGAGTGGGGGCCTATATGTAGCTTAGATTAGGGGTGGTGCCTGAGGCTGTATTAGGGATGCACAGGTAGCCCATTAGCACTAGTTTGGTGCCATAGGTAAATTCCTAGGGGTGGGGGAGATAGGAGCTCCTTGGCTTTACCGGCTACAATGTCCTGTCTAGGCCAAAACTCTTTCACACACTAGGGTCATTTTTCTTTCCATTGTCTTATGACAGATGGAAAATAACATAAGGAAACCCAAGAAATCTCTGAAGCTCTAGGCAAGAGCACATGTAATATTGCACTTGAATCTCCTGGCCTGATTTTCAGTCACCTTTACCTCATTTGACCCTTATTAAGGGTTCATAAACATACAGTACATCTCATACATTTAATTATGATCAAAGTGAATTCTGGAACAGACATGTATGTAGAAACCCCTGAGATAACTCAGCATCTGTCAATCATTCCTATTAATCTTCCCTAAAGATTCAGTGGGAAGCACCTGAGTTGGGGTACATGTCTTTTGACTTCTGAAAGCCTGATTTATTTGCATGCAGTACTTTTTACTTTCCTGTCATCCTTCCACCACTTTTTTGTTTGTGCCATACTTATATTATCATGGTCTAGACCTGAACACATTTGTCTGTAAGTATAACTGCTTTTCACTTGCCATTAAGTACACACTTGTGATTCTTGGCTTGCCATACACAAAAGCCTGGAATTTTTCTGCTGAATTCATCATGCAGTAGCACAAGGAGATACTAGGCATTCTTAATGCAGCAATGCAGTGAATATGAGGAGCCCTGTGCTTGGAGTTTGCACATGTATGAAGAATTAAACCACTTTCTCCAATGGCACATCAGACTTTGAATGAACCAGTGAATATTTGGAGGACGAACATGAGTAACTGAAGTCTAAAGTTCTTTTTTCTCAAATTCTTTTATGCAATTTTCTTTTCTCAATTCAAATTCTCATAGGTACTTACCCATATCTGGGATGGGAACTGGGTGAGATTATTCTTCTAATAATAACTAATAATTTTTCTTGTACCCAGTAAAATGAAGCAAATTTGTACCAGGCCACATGATCATATGAACATAGGAGAAAAATTTTCAAATACTGCTCAGAGAAGGAACTCCAAATTCATGCTAGGAACTTAAAAAATCTGAAAGAAATTTGCATAAAACAAGGCTTCTCAGTTCTTCTGTGGCTTCACAGTAGAATTCCTTTAAAAGCTCTTACATTCTAAGTGACCAACTATATCCCAGACTAATTAAATCAGAATCTTTGGGCATGGGACCCAAGGATAAGTGATGTTTTGTTTTAAAGCTCCCCAGTCTGTGCATAGTCAAAATGAGAATCACTGATTTAGAGAAATTTATTGACCACTATCAATGTATCAGCTAGTAATCGGGCTATGGGTAGGAGGAGGCTTTTCGTAGCATGGCCACTCTAAGCAGACGAAACTGAAAAGGGGGATGAAAGCTGAGATTTTTAGGAAAGTGCATTTAAAAGATATTAAGTTAAATCTTAATGTGCAATCTTAAATGTGCATTGCACATTTTGGGGAAGGAAGAAGTGATGAGAGAAGCAGCTAGACATGCCCAGTTAGAATATCTGGCAAATCCTGGTTGCTATGCTGAGCATCTTGGCTTTTATCCCTGATTGTGTGGAGAAAGATTGGAATCTGGTTGCTGGCGACTGACCAGACTGATTTGCAAGTGAAAAGGGACATTTTAACTGTTGCTTAGAAAACTAACTGGAGAAGAAGGCAAACAAGACTAGTGGTGGGGAGAAGAGTTAATGCTCCAGAAAAATGATGATGAGCCCATTTCTAGGAAAATGGATTAGAAAGAAGAGGCCCAATTGATATATTAAGGAGGTTAAATGAATAGAGTTTGGAGATGTAACCATAAGGAGTATCTTTCAGATATCCTGAGGTGTGGAATATAATTAGTTTCTTTTCCTGTAATTCTATCACTTCATGCATGACAAAGTCATCCTTTCCATTTCCTGTCCCAAGCTAAATTATTTGTTATCATTTATGTTAACTGTTTATAAATTATTTAGTGTGAAAAGAACGAATGAAGGCCATTTAGGTAAGATACAGGATTCCTATAGCTAAACTGGGAGGGAACTCCCCATTGCCCTGTTCAAAATACTCTTTCTTTCCTACACTCTTCCTTTTCCCTCACTGCAGATTGAATTTAGAGCCTCTTTTTATCTGTATGCATATATCTACTCTCTTTTATGAGAGCATCTGCAGTTGGGACTTTGTAAAGTGTTAGGATAAAAGAATGGAGTTTTTGTTAGTGGAAGTTTTGCCCTTACCAAGGAGATCCTAGGAAGATGCCTTGCACACAGGAAGATGGTCACTCAGCTAGGAGCCAACAATAACTAACCTGTGGCACCTTAACATGGTACTGGCCAGCCTTCAGAACATTAAGAAATGAACATTTGTTTGTTATAGACACAGACAGCTGATACTTTCTCTTCCACATGTCATAGCTTCTAGCTATTCCTAATTCCTTCTCTACCCTTTTATCTTTAACAGGTTTCCCCTTCAATATGCTCTTGCACATCTCATCCTAACTCTATCTGTGTCTGCTTCTTAGAGGATACAAACCAAAACAGTATTAACTACATGGGGAATAAGGATTAAAGATCTTAAGAGGATTTTCAGGTTTCTGTGCAGAAATAGAATGAATTCTCATAAGAATTAAAAGGAATGTAAAAGGTTAAAAGGACAAGATCATTGGTGTATGTGTTTTCTTTTCAGGGTCCAAAGATACTCAGATACAAATTCCCAAGAAAATTGCAAGTTATAATTACAGAATTCAGAAGACAGCTATCCAGGTATACATTTAAGTCGTCATATATAAGTTGTAACTTCCATGGCAGCTATGTATGAGGTAAAGGATATTGGCTACTGCAAGGAAAAATCTGAGCATAAAAACTGGGAAATTATGAAGAATACATGAAGGTGGCTTAGATGATTAGAATGAGAGGAAAACACACATAAATACGTAAACTTAACCTTTTTGAGAAGAGAAAAATGTAAGTTCAACATTTCTGAAATCAAGTATGTTAAGAAATAAAATAATTCATTGGGTATCAAATATGTTAGATAAGTTTGGTTAAATAGAGTCATTGTGGAATGTAATTACATGAAAAATCTTGAAGAAGGAATAGGAAGTGTGGAAGTTTGATGTGGAATACATTTTTCTTAGAACAGCTATGGGTAGAATGAAAGAATGAGGATTCTAGAGATATTTTTATGTTTTGTTTGACTTGCAAAAGATGTAAGAGGATTCAGCAAGGAACCAGAACTGAGAATGAAAGATAAAAATAAATGACTTGCAGTTGTTTTGAAGGGATAGGAAGGAGATACACTGATAACACAAGTGGCAGAGCTAACTCTGATCAAGTGAAGCTATGACTGCCTTCCTTTTGAGCCAAATGATCTTGGAGAAAGACCCCTAAGTTTCAAGGTGCAAAAGTGCAGGCAAGGCTATGTTCACATGGTAGCTTCAATTTCTTTCTTGAAGGATAACACTGGGAAAGCACTTGTCATTGAAATGGAACAGGCTAGCGAGTGTTGAAAAGGAGAGATTTTTAAAGGAGCTTATGGTCTGAGCATGGGATACTGAAGCGTAGGATTTCTCAGTTCACTAATGATGAGAATGAAAGACACACAGTAAAATAAGAGATGAAGAAAGCAGGGAGCTGTCATGGATGAGTAGTTCTCACAGTGAGCCCTAGGATTCTGATAGAAATCAGGGGCAGGAAAACAGAGTCAGGTCCAAAGTTCTCAGTGCTACTGTGATTGCGGTGATACTGACAAGAAGAAGGAGTGACATTGATGACACGAATTTCAGAACAGGATGATTTCTGTAGAAAGACTTGCAAACAGTGGTCCACCAACCCCCATGGGGAGCTGAAAGAATGCGATTTTTGCCATATTTTGAGAATAAAGGCATTAGGGAGAAAAGCAAATCCTTCCCCTGAGAGGACTACAAAGATAGTTCTGTTTTCTGAGCAGAGCCAAGTTTCAGTTAATTAATCATGATTATGATGATGATAGCAGCATTTATTAACACATTACAATCTAGGCACTTTTCCAAATTTTTATTCATAGAAAGTTATTTATAACAAGCTAGAAGCAGTGGTGATTTGTGAAGATGCTGATGGTTAAAAAAGATGTGTTTTCGATGATAAAATAAGTAAACTCCAGAAAGGTGCAATGAAAAGGATGGCAGAGTCAACAGGGAAAGTCAGCAAAACATGCACAATGTTGTAATTAGAGAATTAGCTTTTTAAGAATTTGGCTACAGGCAGGGCTTGTGAATCTTATTCTTCAGAGGCACCACTTGTGGATTCTCAAGGAGGATATACAAAATAAATAAGAAAAAAACCCCTCTAAAATGACACAGCTTGTAACCAACTTATATGTAACCATTGATATGTGTAAGGTAGGATATGCAGGTGACCCATAATTATTCTTTTTTTTCTTGCTCTGATTTAAGATTCAGACTAAAAGAAAGTACAGGTATCATCTGTTTGACACCGCTCCTCACTCCAGCCTACATTCTAATGTCTTAGAAGATGAATCACAAACTTTTATGCTGTGAGTCAAATCTTAATTGTGTTTGACCCAAAAACATTTTTAAATTTTAATTAATTCTCAACACTTGAAAATTCAGGGCTTTTGTTTAAGGGACAAAGGAAGGTTAGAATGAAAGAAAGAAGTTCAACTAACATAACAAATGGGGCTGTTAAGCAGCTCCAGTGGCCAAGTTTCATCTCAGTTTCCCCAGGAATTTTGCAGTTTCAACCATGGGAAGCTTATTTCCTCAAACCCTCTCACTTATAAGAAAACTAGAATAGCTGGACACATGAGGTTCCCATGCTCTTTTTAGACTGACATATCACAATTTGATGTTTGCTGAAAATACTATCACATCAATAGTTTTAATTTGATTATCTCCTGTAGATTGTTGAGTTTTCTAGATTTTGGTCTGTCAAAGGAAGGACTTAACTGTTTTAATTCTCCCAGACCAAGGAAGTGTATCCTCAAAGGAAACTGACTGCCCTAATTAAAATATCTTAATGATACAGAGAAAAGAAGTCCACATAGATGACTAGTTAAAAAGAAGATAAAAGCCCACAAATCCACCACGAAATTTATTAGCATCTATCCCATACATTCATTGTACTCTAAAATTTAACCTCAATAATGGCTTATTTTGATTTCATAGCTTCTTGTGGGTGTACCTAGGTAGAGTTGGCCATATATTACATGCTGGTTATACTTGGTGGCAAAAGAAAGAAAGAAAGAAAGAAAGAAAGAAAGAAAGAAAGAAAGAAAGAAAGAAAGAAAGGAAGAAAGAAAGAAAGAAAAAATAGAATTGAGGAAGTAATTGGCCTAAGTATTCTGTTGGAATTGCTGAGTCCAAAGAACTAGCTTTTGGACAGAAAATACACACAATCAGGAGTCTTGAATGGTGACTGAAGATACCAGAATCCAAAATTCTATTATGTTACTACTGAAGGTCTGATTGTACAGTACTTCAAAAATCACTTTTAAAAGATGCCAGTGTGGAACCAGGTGTTCTGCCCCTAGCCCCTGGATTCTCCATAGCACAGGGCAACAGAGATGACAACCCCAAAACAACCTGATTGAATCAAACAACAGCCAGGATGAGAATTTCACTTTAAGACTGAAGGGATACCTGCCAGAGAGCACTTGAGTGGTAAATAGGCTTGAAGGAGGTTACAGATAAATGGGCATCACTTGGGATCCCTTGGGAGACCTGAGATCAGATCAAGGGGCCTGTAATCTATGTGGGAGGCTAGGTTAGGTGGAAGTAATCATCAGACGGCATGATCCTGAAGAAGAAGGGCATTCAGTCTACTGGTGTGTTTGAGCTGAGGCATTGACGCATACATCCAGCAGAAATTAGTAATTTGAAGTTCTATAGGTCAGTGTAAAGGTAGCCTAATTGCCTTCACTAAAATTAAAGTCTGTCACTGACTGGCAGTTGGTTTTCTCTGTATGTTAATATCTAGATTGCCTGAAGGTCACAAACAATACTTACGGCTTGATCTCAAGGAATGGAACATAGTGCCAAAGAATTTACAAAACCCAGCATAGCAAAAACAAACAAAACAAAAGTAACCAAACAAAAAACTAGAAAATGAGAAAACAAAGCAACAAAATGCCCCCAAAACTTCTAACTCCACCAAGTCCAGTTCATAGGGCACTGTGAACAAAGAAATCATAAGTTCCAGAACTGATAGATCTGAAAAGATATCAATCAAGACAAAACAGTTCAAGAAGATGTGTGGTGATCTGATTTTTTTTTTTTTTTTGTACCAGGAATTGAATGCAGGGTTTTGTGCTTGCCAGACAGGCACGGTGCCACTGAGCTATATCCACCGCCCTGTGCTTGGTCAATTTAAAAAAGATATAATTAATCATACGATGATCCTAATGAAACAAATGATTAGTGAGTTTAGCCTAGGGACTACAATGGTAAATAGATAGCAAAGCTAAAGAAAGGCACATAAAACATGAATATCCATGAAAGAAAAAAAATTAAAGCCCCTGAGAAAGGTCCAAATAGAAATACAGATGATTATAAACATGACAGTGTAGGTAGCAAAAGCGACCAACATTAAGACAGAGTGTCTGGAATAGAGGACAGGGCTATAATTAATGATGAATTAAGACAAATTCTTTAAAAACAAAACAATATGAAAAGTGGATCTAATAGCACCTCCAGGACTCAATGTGGAGAAATATAAGAGTAACTGAAATGAGTGAAAAATCAGAAGGTAGCACAAAGGACATTAAAAAATTTATTTATATAAGTAATAGCAGAAAATGTTACAGACATCAAAAAGAATTTAATATACATATAAGTGAAGCATATAGAACTCTGAATGGGCATGATCAGGGAAAACAAAATGAAGCAAAAACAAACAAAAAAAACACTTCATATAACAGTTAAAATTTCAGAAATACAACAGAAGAGCAGAATCTTAAAGGCTGCTAGATTCAAACAAATCACCTATAAAAAAAGGAAAACTTATCTAAATTATAGCAGGTTTCTCCCCACAGGGTTTAAAGGCAAGGAGAGTATGAAATGGAATGTTTCAAACTCTTGAAGAAAATTTCACATTCAGGCTGTATTATCCTGTTACAATATCTTTCAAAACTGCTGGGCAAGTAAGATACTTCCATTTTAAAGAAAACCTAAAGATATTCATGACTGGGAAAGCAACACTCCAAAATATTTTCAAGAATATCCTAGAAGGATAAAATGAAGGTAACAGTGCCAAAATGTCAAAAAAAAAAAAAAATGAATGCATCAGGTAGGGATAGACATTAAGTAGAAGAAAAAGGAAGTAACACTGTAACAAGGAAGTAATACAATGACAAGATTAACTCAATACTTGTCAATTATAACTACTCATGGAAATGGATTCAATTCATAAATCAAAAGATGTAGATTTTCAGAATAGATCAAGAAATAAAATCTGATATATACAAAAATATTTAATATGAAACAAAAATTCATGAAGAAAGGAAAGCTATCCTGTATTCAGACAAAGTAGAGTTCAAATCAAAGCTGATCAAAAAAAGGCAAAGAAGAAGATTACATATTTGAGACAGGAGATTAGGGCATGACAAAGCTGGCTATGGCCCTAATGGAACATATGCTCAGAGTAGTTCCCAAAGCCCTGCACATATCCTTCTGATGACAACTTGAGCTGGTTTTTATTAGGATTATCTAGCCCTGATGTCAGCTTCAGGTGTGGGATCCATGCATCACCTCTTAGGACTCATACATAGAAGTTCTCATGAGTTTCGTGAATATTTGGACAGCACAAAGGACATAAACTGATTCCAGAACTTGCCATTGTGGTTTTTCCCCATCATAATCCACCCTTTCTCCTCCAGAGTGTTCTTATGTCTTGCATTTTTCTCTTTTATTTGGCCCATTCTCCCTCATGCTTCACTTTTACTTCTCGAATAAACTTGACCACTACCTTTTTTGCTCCTTTTGTTCAGTTCTTTGCTTGAGATCAGAAGAACCTGGAATCTAACTCCAGAGGGAGAAGCAAGAAATCTAGAACCTGGTAATGTTTAGTTGGTGAGCCATGTTTAGAAACAGGCTGCCCTATGATACGTTGGTCAATGGAATCATTCAACAGAAAGAGATAGCAACTATAATCATATATGCACCAAACCACAGGTACCCAACTTCATAAAATAAATCAGTGTCCAATTCCAACTACAAGAAGGTCTAGAGGAACTTCTCTTAACTGAGACCCTTCCATGTGAGAGAGTCTCATAAGGACACAACTGAATTGAAACTTCTGTGACTTTTTATTTTTAGAACCAGGAAGCAAGGATAGAAAAAGGAAGGACATAAGTGCAGGAATTCATGTAGAAGAAAGAGGAAATAAAGGAGAATAAGAGAGTGGTCTGTTACATAAATGACCTTAGGGCTGTTCTAAGTAATAAATGAGAGTATGGGGAGGATGAGGGCCAGAATATTCCTTCCTTAAAACAATGTGTTTTGATCTTACTTGAACTTGTAATCTCTTATGCATCCCAGCAGGTCATTATCTCAACATGATAAAAGCATTGATGACCAACCTATTGCTAACATCATATTTTTTAGGGAAAAGACTTTCAGCTTTTCTCTGAATTCAGGAAGAAAATGAGGATATCTCCATTATTACAATGCCTGTTCAATATAGTCCTTGAAACATTAGACAGAGCAAACAGAAAATAGAAAAGAAAAAGCAGGGGTGCATATAGGAACAGCCAAATTCAAAATATCATTAGTTGCAGATAACATGATTCTTTACTTACAAGACCCAAAACCTATGCCAAATGACTCCTAGACTTAATAATCAAACTCAGCATTGTTACATTGTACAAAGTAAACACAGACACTAATAGCATTCTTATACACTAATAATGAACTCACTGAAATGCAATTAGAAAACCATGTCATTCATAGGAGTATCAAAAATTAAGTACTTAAGTATTAAGGTAACTAAGGAAGTTAAAGACCTCTACAGTGAAAATTGAATTACTCTGAAAAGGAAATTGAGGAAGACATCAGTGAAGGAGTTTTCAGTGTGATGAAACAGAGAATGTAAATTAAAAATAGCCTTTATTCCAAGGACGTGGACAGAAGTCCATGACCACCAGTGACCTGGCTTTTTCTACCAGAATGTGAGGTAAAGGAGATATATATATATAACCTCTGACTGGGGGTGTTGCTTAGAGTGGGCACTGATGACACACAAGCAGCTGATTGGGACCCTTTTAATGCCACTACTCTCTGGCAGCTGTAACTTATTTTAGGGCAAAATCTTTTCATTCCTATCTTTTTATTGTTGGGAAAAGGGCAAAGTCTCTCCCTTACTGATTCCTGCTGAAAGGGGGCACCATATGGGGATTCAGAAAGGTTGACAAGATGATGGTTGATGCCCATACAGAAGCTGGTACTAGGTGTTTTAGCCAGGACAACTTCATCCTTGGTGAATGCCCACATCTTAGACTGGAGAAACAAAGAGACAGGGTGCTATGAGGAGGCAGGCCATTATCATATTTAAGGACCCATGGGAAGTAGAAGGAAAAGTGTCTTTGATTTAAATATGCCATTCCATCAGGACCATAGTAAGGCAGAATTCTGAAAAATAAGTGTGGGGTTAGGAGGAGTGAAATTATGAGAGGTGATTATTCCCCCATCTGAAAGGGTAATAGTTAAGAGTACAGATAGGTAGGGCTTGTCTCTGGTCTAGGACTTGAGCTGGAAAGAATAACAGGGATGGGAAGGGCCATAGCTGTGTCACTATAAGGGAGATAAGAGCCTAGGCCCACAGGATCTCATGTTTAACGAAACAGTTAAGGGTAGAGAGAACTAAGATTAGTTGTCACATAGAACAACATGAAGACGACCTTACACATGATGTGGGTGTCTTTAGGAAAGACTGTCAAGAGTCCTGCTGTAAAAAAAAAAAAAGATCATTAATAGAATGTAAGAAATTAGAACCAAATTGGATAACAAAACATGACTTAGCCTGGGAGTTCTTGCTGTGAGGCCTTAGTGAGACAGACAGGGGTGGGTGACAGAAGATGAGATGACCACTCAGGATGGTTAAATTTAGGGTTGGGAGGGTACCACTTAGTTTGAGTGATGTTGAACCAGGATGGCAGTCCAGCAACTTTGGCCACTGTTGGGATTGCCAAGAAGACTAGGTAGGGGCGCTCCACCTTGGTTGTAGTCCTTGGGATGATTTCCTGTAACAGGACTTTAGTAAGTATAACAGCAGTCTCCCTGGTTGTGGGAAAGGCTTTTATCTATCCTGAAAAGGTACAAAC